CCTCCCCGCTCTCCTTTCGTTTTGCGCCCTCACCGGCCTCGCGCCCGTGTCGCGCAGACCCCGCCGCGGCCATGGAGGTGGCGCCGGAGCAGCCGCGCTGGATGGCGCACCCCGCGGTGCTGAACGCGCAGCACCCCGACTCGCACCACCCGGGGCTGGCGCACAACTACATGGAGCCCGCGCCGCTGCTGCCCCCCGACGAGGTGGACGTCTTCTTCAACCACCTGGACTCGCCCAGCAGCCCCTACTACGCCAACCCGGCCCACGCCCGCGCGCGCGTCTCCTACGGCCCCGCGCACGGTGAGCGCCGCGCGGCCCGTGGCCACTTCCCGGATGTAGGGCCCGAGGAGCCGCCGGGAAACCGGGCCTCTCCTGCGGGCCCTCGGCCCACTCCACGGCCGGGTCCCTCTGGGTCCTTCCCCAGGGGTCTCCTCAGCCGCTTGCCCCAGCCGTGTTCAGCCTCTGGTTGTCTGGGGCTTGCGTGGGGTGCTGTGTGTCCAGCCTCTGGTTGGGGTCTGCGTGGGGTCCTGTGAGCGTCTCCACCCTCTGCTTGTCTGGGGTCTGCGTGGGGTGGGTGCTGTGTGTCCAGCCTCCGCTTGTCTGGGGTCTGCGTGGGGTGGGGTGCTGTGTGTCCAGCCTCTGCTTGTCTGGGGTCTGCGTGGGGTGGGTGCTGTGTGTCCAGCCTCCGCTTGTCTGGGGTCTCTGGGTGGGGTGCTGTGTGTCCAGCCCCTGCTTGTCTGGGGTCTCTGGGTGGGGTGCTGTGAGCCCTGCCCCATCTGACCCCTCTCTCCCTACCGCAGCGCGTCTCACTGGAGGTCAGATGTGCCGGCCGCACTTGCTGCACAGCCCGGGCTTGCCCTGGCTGGATGGGGGCAAAGCCGCCCTGTCCGCTGCACACCACCACAACCCCTGGACCGTGAGCCCCTTCTCCAAGACGCTGCACCCGTCGGCGGCGGGAGGGCCGGCGGGGCCCGGAGGGCCGCTCTCTGTGTACCCGGCGGCAGGCGGGAGCGGAGGAGGCAGCGGGGCCTCCGTGGCCTCCCTCACCCCCGCGGCGGCGCACGCGGGCTCCCACCTTTTCGGCTTCCCACCCACACCTCCCAAAGAGGTGTCTCCAGACCCCAGCGCAGGGGCCGCCTCCCCAGCCCCCACTTCTGCGGGGGGCAGCGCGGCCCGGGCTGAGGACAAGGACGCTGTCAAGTACCAAGTGTCCCTGCCCGAGAGCATGAAGATAGAAGGAGGCAGTCCCCTGCGCCCAGGCCTGACCACCATGGGGGCCCAGCCCGCCACTCACCACCCCATCCCCACCTACCCGTCCTACGTGCCGGCGGCCGCGCACGAGTACGGTGGCGGCCTCTTCCACCCAGGAGGCTTCCTGGGCGGCCCGGCCTCCAGCTTCACCCCGAAGCCGCGCAGCAAGGCCCGCTCCTGCTCAGGTAAAGGCGGCCTGGGCTGGAATGGCGGGGTGAGGGGCGACAAGGCCGTTCAGCCAGCGGGGGGGGGGGGTGCTTTTCTAGTACTCAGCAGAAGGTTGAGGTCCCAGAAAGAGAAGAAGACACAAAAAACACGTTCTTCCTGTGGGAGTGCTCCCTTTGGTCCCCAGACCTGCAGGCTCCTTGGCCCAGTGGGGCCCCAGTGCGTGACACCCGACGGGGAGTCTCCTGGCTCCTCTCTGGATCTCCAGTGAAGTCTCTCTGTGTGAGGGAATGCGGTTATGCGGGAATGCGGGCGTGTGGGCATGCGGGCCGGTCTGCCTGCCCTGTGCTGCATACGTGGGTCTGCACTGCCGGCCGCTGCAGGGCCTCCAAGGGCGCAGACCTGGAAGGGATCTGGGTCTCGAAATCAGTCAGCACAATCTCAGAATTTCAAGGCCTCTGATCTCTTCGGGAGATTTCCCTGAAACGAAATTCCCAGGGCCTGGCTTGCACCCCTGCCCCCGGGCACCGCACAAGGGCCAGAGCCAGGGGGATGGAGCCACGGGTGCCTGCACCCCTTGTCCAGCAGTAGCTAGATCAAACGAGGTTTGTCCAGGCTCTGGCTGAAGGGCAGTAGCCCGTGCCTAGTGTGCCTCCTTCCCCACAACTGAGTCCCAGAGCAAGAGCTTTCTTTCCCTTTTTTTCTTTTTCTTTCTTTTTTTCTTTCTCTTCCTTTTTCTTTCTTTCTCTTTCTCTCTTCCTCCCTCCCTCCCCCTCTTTCTTTTTCTTTTTCTTTCTCTTTTTCTCTCTCTTTCTTTCCTCCTGTGTCCAGGAGTCTCCTTCTCTTGGCTGGGATGTATTGACTATTGAAGTCTGGAAGAATTTCCTGGGTAACACACTACTAAGGTGCTCTCTCAGCCCTGACCTGATTCAGGGTCCCCACCCTGCTTGGACCATCTCAATTGCTTTTTCTTAGTCCTCTCGATCCCAAGTTTGTTTTGTGTTTTATCTGAATTCCAGATGCGGTTGTAACAAACAAAATCCCAAGCAACAAAAAGCAGGGCCACTCAGTCTAAAGTGAAAGAGCTTCTTACTTGTTTTATTTTAAAGAACAACAACTTTGATCAGGATCCAGGGTTCACACCGAATTCTAGGGTTTCAGCGGCAGGAGAGAGAAGTTGGGCAGAAGGAAGTTTCTTTGGATGAACAGGACTGGACGGTGGGGGCTCAGGGCATGGAAGGGAAGACTACTCTGGAGGAGAGAAAGGAGTGAGGAAGTGGAGAGGAGGGGGGCTGCACAGTTAGCCACAGCTCCCTTTCCTGGCTTCTTGCTGGTTGGCTCTGAGGCTCTCGGGGTGCCCACCGGGTTCCTCTGGGTGTTTCACACCCACAGCAGGCTTTGAATGGGGATTTGGCCCTAAAAGACCGTCTGCATTTCTGAAGGGATCTCCTAAGCTGCTCTTCCTTGGGGAGGGGGGAGGGCACAGAGCCCCAGCAAAGCTGACCGGTGTCTTCCGTCCCAGAGGGCCGGGAGTGCGTCAACTGTGGGGCCACAGCCACCCCGCTGTGGCGGAGGGACGGCACCGGCCACTACCTGTGCAACGCCTGCGGGCTCTACCACAAGATGAACGGGCAGAACCGGCCTCTGATCAAGCCCAAGCGGAGACTGGTAAGAGCTGCTCTGAGGTGGGGGCACGGGGGAGGTTCTGAGCAGGAGCCGGGCGCTAAGGGGAAAACAGAAATAATTGAGCAACGACAACAGAAGCCCCCCGACCGCCGAGCCTTCAGATCGTTGAAATCGTTCGGGGGTCAGTTGGGGTTGCTTTTCTTTCTGGCCAATTCTTTCTGCACCCCACCAGGTCCTCTTGTACCCCACTGCTCGGGGGTCCCCAAAGCCAGTGCCCTAGGGCCTGCCCTGGCCCCTGGCTTCTGCTTAACTCTCTTTAAAAATAGGGCTAGGAAGGACCTTTCTCTGGCTGGCTCAGGGCTGCCTCCTCAGCCTCCCAACTCGGTCTCTTCATGCTTATTTAAATAAAACACTCACACCAGCCACCAAAAAAACCTGCCCTTTATTATTTTTCCATGGAGTCACCTATACTGTGTATTTTCATTTGAGTGATTTTAAAAAAAATGCCCTTTCGGATCTCCTGCCGGAGTTTCCTATCCGGACATCTGCAGTACGAAGATAAGGAAACTCCGTGTATCTGTTTCCGGACTCTACGAGGTTTTGGAGAGCCGCCTCCGCTCTGTCCCGCCTCTCGCTGGGCTGTTTTGAAATTTCTAATACCCTCCACTCTGCAAATAATGCGTAAAATGCTAAGAATAATAAATATATTTTTTCAGGGCGAAGTGATTTATGAGCTTAAATCGTTCGCCCGCTTCGGGGCCTCTTCTCCCTTTCCCCCTGGATGGAGGGCGGGCAAGGCGGTGGGGGTGGGGCGGAGGACGGCTGCTGGCCCCGGAGTCAGAATTCCAGCTCCAGGCTTACTCACTGCCGCTCCTCCCTGCCCCCGCAAAGTCAGCCATCCTGTCCCCCGGTGGCGGCGCAGGCCCGGGGCCGTTCCAGGCTCTGCTGGCCCCAGCCCCTGTCCCCGCCCTGGCTGCCTGGTGACTGGGGTGCCAGTGCTCTGGGAAGTGGGGAGACTGTTTTGTGTGTGTGGTGGGCTGCAGGGCTCGTTCTCCAGTACAGGTCCTACCTGGTGCCTTTCTCTGGGGACCCTCCTCTCAGGGCCCAGGGGCCTGTATAGTCGATGGACCCACTACAGAGAAATGTCCAGTGTGACCCTCCATCACTAGGGTGTGGCTGGGGTGGTGGAACACAGCTCAGCCCCAGTGGACCTGAAACCTCCCTCTCGCACTCCCACCCCTCCCCTGCCTTCCAGGACAGCTGCAGGCTCTCCTGCCCCGGCCTCAGGGCTCTGTGGAGACCGAGGCCCTGCCTCCCAGGGGCTCAGGGGGGACTTGAGACTGCCCGGGGCCTCAGTTTCCCCATTGATGGAATTAAGTTTGGAGATTGGGAGGCGGCTGGTGTTCCCTTCTGATTTGTAGTCCTGTTGATTCTGAGAGAGGATCAGGCTTCCAGGGCTCTCTATTCCCTAGTTCTGTGATTCTCAACTTGAACAGTTCTGCTGTTTTGAGATGCCTTGATTCCCCGGTGAGGCGGGGGTGGGGGTGGGGAGCATAGCTTGCCAACTTGCCAACGCCATCTCTCGCCATCTCTCCCTCTCAGTCGGCAGCCAGGAGAGCGGGCACCTGCTGTGCGAATTGTCAGACCACCACCACCACTTTATGGCGCCGGAATGCCAACGGGGACCCGGTCTGTAACGCCTGTGGTCTCTACTACAAGCTGCACAACGTGAGCCGCCCCCCCACTCCGCCCCCCCCGCCCGCCCCCCCCCAGCCCTGGGCTTTGTGTGTTGGGCTCCCAGCCCAGCCCAGCAGAGCAGGCCCGGACCCCCAGGAGGGCGCACAGAGGGGCGCAGGACCCCCAGGAGGGCTTCCCTAAGAGAGGTGCCTCCGTTCAGGAGGTGGAGCAGCCAGAGCAGCCTGGGGCCTGCTGGAAGCTTAGCTTTGTGAAGTAAAAAAAAGTGTAGGTTTTGGGGTTTTTTGCTTTTTTTTTTGTCGGTTGTGGGCCTGAACTCTGGGCCTGGGCGCTGTCCCTCAGCTCTTCAGCTCAATGTGAGCATTCTACCACTTGAGCCCCAAGCCACTTCCAGTTTCCTAGTGCTTTGTTGCAGATAAGAGTCTCACAAACTTTCCTGCCCGTGCTGGCTTTAAACTGTGATCCTCAGATCTCAGCCTCCTGAGCAGCTAGGATGACAGGCCTGAGCCACCGGCGCCCCGCTTAGAGTGTAGATTTTGAGTGTGGTGGGGAGCTAAGCTCAGGCAGGAGCAACAGCTCCTCCCTCCCAGAACTAGAGACAGTGCTGGCCAGGGGCCTCGGCGCTGCTGGGGCTTGGATTCCATGTATTCTGGGGACCTGTCTTGCTGCCTGGGGGTACAGGGAGGCCTGGAGGGCATCCCGGGGCCAGGCACACACCCCCTAACGGCCTGGTGCTGGCTCCAGGTTAACAGGCCGCTGACCATGAAGAAGGAAGGGATTCAGACTCGGAACCGGAAGATGTCCAACAAGTCCAAGAAGAGCAAGAAGGGGACTGAGTGCTTCGAGGAGCTGTCCAGGTGTGTGCAGGAGAAATCCTCGCCCTTCAGCACAGCTGCCCTGGCGGGACACATGGCGCCCGTGGGCCATCTCCCACCCTTCAGCCACTCCGGACACATCCTGCCCACCCCGACGCCCATCCATCCCTCCTCCAGCCTCTCCTTTGCCCACCCTCACCCAACCAGCATGGTGACTGCCATGGGCTAGGGACAGAGGTCGTGGCAGGGGCCGAGCGGGAGTCAGGCCATGCACGCCTCTGCTGCCCACCCTTCCCCAGAGCCTGCGCGGCTCCCGAGGCTCAGCCGGAGCCCAGAGCCTCGCTGTACCCGAGGGCTCCCTTGGCCTCCTGCCATTACTGTGAATACTCTCTGGGCTGAGCGAGGCTGTTCCGACGTGACTGGAGACCCGGGGAGCAGAAGGACGGCTTTCCGGTGGAGAAGGAGGGGACAGACAAACGCAAGCGTTTTTTGAAGGAAGGAAAAAAAAAAAAGTAAGCAAAAATAATTTATTTGCTCTTGTTTCTGGAGACCCGAGGAGAGGCTGTCTGTGTTCTCTGGGTTTTCCTGGGGCCGGCGTGCCTGTGACCCGGGGCTGCCGGGCTCGGGGGCAGGCAGGTCTGGAGGCTGAAGCCCCTGGCCTCCCTCTGTCCCGAGCGGGCCCTGCCTGCGGCCGGCCCTGGAGGCTAGAGACAATTGCAGGCGGTGCTGCTCAGATTCCCAGGCCCGGGCTGGGCCACAGGAAGGAAACAACATTTTCTTGAAAGGGGAAATGTCTCCCTGGTTGCTCCCTTGGATTTGAGGCTGGAGTTGGAGTGACCTGTGTGTCCCCAGCAGGCCCAGGCCGTGGCCGGGGCCCTGTACATACATACGTCCTTCTGCTAACCCTGCCACCCTCCCCCACTCCGAGACAAATAGGAAATATTAGAGGCAAAGCAAAACCTGCGCAAGCTTCACTTACCAACAAGCTGTTTTGTTTTTAAATTCTCCGGGTCCAGTCAATTGTACATGGCCGTGGTAGCCTCGCCCGGGCGGGTGAGACCTTCCCGAGCTTGGAGTTTTTGAAAATTCTTGGACCATCCTGCAGCCCTACCCAGAGAGCGGGTGGGGGGGCGGGGGGCTGGCACTCCGGGGGCTGGAGGCCGAGGCCAGCCTGGCAGGTGGAGGGGCCGACTGTGGGGCTGCGAGCGGTGGCTGCCCGGGTCCTCTGAGGTACAGCTGTACATAGATGTGTCCCAGCCTCGATTCTGCGCGGTTGGTGGGTTGGCCGTGATGAGGCCGCAGCCGGGGGCTCCCGGCCAGGGGGGCTCCTGGCCAGGGGGCTCCTGACCAGGGGGACAGTTGTGCCCCCGGGGGCTTTGCTGTAGCGCCACCCACCAGAAGTAACTTATTTTGTACTAGTATCCGCATACGAGAAAGAATCGGCAGTATTTTCTGTTTTTGTTTGGCCTGTTTTATTTTGGGTTAGTAAACTAAGTTATTGTTAATTATGTACAACATTTATATATTGTCTGTATAAATCGTATGCTATTCTCCTATTCCTTTAAAGTGAATACTGTTAAGAATAATAAAATACTTTTTGTGAATGCTCCAGCCTGGCTGTGGGCTCCTGGGCAGCCGCCCCAGGCCCGGGTCTGACTGTTGGGTTGCTGTGCGCCTGCTGCCCTCCAGGGTGGCTGGGGGGAGCATCCCCGGAGCTGCCAGCCCTGCGCGGCCTGGCCTCCAGGGTGGCTGGGGGGGGGTGTCTCCGGAGCTGCCAGCCCTGCGCGGCCTGGCCTCCCCGTTGGCCTCCTTTGAGTGGCTCCCGTGAGTCGTCCGAGATCTCGGTGTTGGGCTCGCACGGGGTGGGGTGGGGTGGGGTCGAGGGGTGGGCATGGCTACTCTCCAGTGTTTGGTCTCTGAAAGCCCAGCAGAGTTCCCGCAGTGTGTGTGGGGCCCAAGGATGGAACGAACAGCAGTTCACCAGTGCCCCTGCGGTCCCCGCGGTGGCGAGGCCACGCCGGCCATGCGTGTCTCCCAGCGTCTCACCAGTGCCGCCCAGCCGTGTGTGGTTTGGGGGAGGGGAAGGCCTCGCGGTGGCCCGGGCTGGCCACAGCTCTTGGACTCAAGTCTCCTGAGTAGCTGGGACTCCAGGAGTGTGCCTATGCTCGGAGCCCCGTTTTCCCTGGTGATCTGACTTTTTACTTGTGATCTTTAGCCACAACCTCTCTCCACTGGTGTCTCTACCAGTATCTCTGGTCACACCACCACCTCTCACCATCCAATGGCGGTGATCCCTGGTCACCAGGACCCCCGACGGCCAGGATGTCTCCCCACCTCTGAACCTGGTGAGGGCTGTGGTGGTGGATTCGTTCCCAGTCACACGCGGGCCTGGCCGGCCAGCCCTGGGCAGGGCCGTGGGTGTCTTGGGTCTTGGCCCCCTGGTCTGCAGTAGCTCACGCAGAGCTCAGCCAAGTGGGGTCACAAGGTCTCTTCTGGCCTGCGGCGTCCGGGACACGAGCGAGCATGCTCCTAGCCATCATGCCTGCAGTGGGGCCTGCAGCCAGTGAAGGCCCATCACCCCGGCTGGGCCCTGAGTGCCCGGCCTCTGTGCAGGCCTCCGGGTCCCCAGCAGACACCATCCTCTGCTCATCTGGTCTCTGCTTACTGGGTCTCTGACTACAATGCCCTTGCCATGATCCTTGATTCTTTATCTTTTCTTTTTTTTTTTCTGCCAGTCCTGGGGTTTGAACTCGGGGCTTGGGCGCTGTCCCTGAGCTGCTTTTGCTCAAGGCTAACGCTCTACCACTTGAGCCACAGCACCACTTTTGGCTTTTTCTGTTATGAGGTGCTGAGGAATGGAACCCAGGGCTTCATGCATGCGAAGTGAGCACTCAACCACCGAGCCACCTTCCAGCCCCATCCTTGATTCTGGACAGCGATTCGGACGTCCACCTAGCCCAGGACGCTTTCCTTGAACTCTTCCTGTCTGAGACCCCTGTGCCACAGGGTCTTCTTGCGTGGCTGGGAGGCCCTGATCTTGTGGAGGTTGGAGAGGGTGGGGGGCTCTGGATCTGGACCTCAGGTCCCTGACAGGTGAGCCCTTGCTCTGTGTCCACCCCACCATGCAGAATGGACAGCTGGGACAGACTGGAGCCACCCTGTCTTCCACTGGTTCCGGCTGATCCCAAGCCACACAGGCAAGTTCAGCAGCTCCCCTCCCCCACCAGCTGCAGTAGGCCAAGACAGGGCCTGTGCCCCAGGCCACAGCCGCAGGACTGCGTGTCTGAAATCACGTCCTCCTGAGTGCACACATGCGTGCTGTTGGACACCCCTGCATACCACACACATTCCAGGTGCTGGGGCCGCAGAGTGACCAGAGCAAGAATCCTGTCTGTGCAGCTCGGCTCCCTGCACTCAACAGGAGAGCTCCTGGCCTGCGGGGTCCTGAGCTCAGAGCCTAGAGCCTGCAGTCTAGAACCCGGAAGCCAGGACGGAAAGTCTTGTGCCCCAGAACTTAGGGACCTAGAGCCCCACATGGAAACAATGTGGACCCTTGAGCCTAGATCTTGGATTGAAGCTTGAAGCTCAGAATCCAGAACTTAACCATAGAACCCCAAGATGGGGCTTCAACCGGCCTAACACGGAGAGCCAGGAACCCAGGGTCCTCAACGTGGACCCTGACTCTCAACCCCGAGCCTTGGGCTCAGAACTCAAAGCTTAGCACAGAGGACACAGAACCCGTCAGCTAGAATCCAACACCAGAGCCTGCAACCTGCCTGCAACCCAAAGCCAGAATTCAGAGCCCAGCTCAGACTGACCACATGGAGTCCTGGGCTGTCAGTCATGCTGCGCTGGCTTCCTCCTCCCCTCCCTCCCTCCCTCCCTCCCTCCC